TGTCATGCTGTCAACTAATTACATAGTCATGGCCAGTAGCTGGGTATTAGAGCCGACTCACCAAGTCTATTATTACACAGTCTTCCTCAAATGTCTTTTGTATTTTACTATGCCTCGTTATCATGCCTGTAATGGGCTTTTCTGTACTCTGATTGTCCACCCAGGGTTAGCCCAGATATAAGGTTCTCACCCTAACCAACTAGGACTCTACCTGGTGTTAGCTGAGATATGAGGTTCTCACCCTAACGAGGACTCCACCTGTGGTTAGCTTAGATATAAGGTTCTCACCCTAACCAACGAAGACTCCACCTGGGGTTAGCCGAGATATGATGTTCTCACCCTAACAAGGGGTGAGATTGGGTTTAATGTCTGACAAAAATTAATCAAGTCTGGACCAGACAATCCAGTGACTGATGTAGTGAGCATCGATTCACACAATTGGGATACAATGACATGTATTAACGAAGTCAGCGAGCCTGACCACCCAAACTGGGATGGAATTATGGAGTTGCATTTTGGCTGGACCACGAACCTATACATAGTCCAATCACACCCCGTAACAAAATCGAAGTCCGGTTCATAAACAACATGGCAACTGCAAAGCATGTGTACCATCAACGGGGTGTCAACCAATATTTTCCAAATCTTTTCATGTTTTTAATCCAGGTGCTCAAGTGATTTACTGCACTTCATCAGGTTAAATCCATTTTATTGCAATAAAGATCTTTACTATCGATGCGATCGTTTTGACTTGGCGCCGCCATTTTGTTGGAAGCAAATGCAAATTATTTGAAAGGTCGAATCTGATTGGTCAGTAGGGGGGCAAAGAAGGGACATAACTCGTAATAGATACTGATGAAGCTACGATCAAGCCCAGAAATTCCAACCTGGTCGGCAAGGATGGAAGCTGGACTCTTTTTTTTTTGGACTAGGGGAGATGTTTTGAACTGGCACAGTCTTGCATTTCTTGATTTACCAATGATAGTGATGCTGTTCAATTTGACAAGAAAAAACATGATTATCAGAGATGCAATTTACTGAAACTGTAAAACCTTGCAGACCTGTTTTCAAAGGTTTTTGTTCATGACACTATTGTATTCCCTTTCGTACCTAAAATACTATGTTCAACTGAAGTTATTAGACATGCCAGTGGAATGAAAGACATTGAATGCATAGTTAAAGAAGTAACGAAAGCAATGTCTGCATTGCATCACATTACCCACGTCTCCACAATGCAATGAAGTGATAGAAAAACACAAAGGAATGTGAAATTCCTCACATATAATTAAAAGCATTAACTATTGACAAGTGCTGGAATAAGTTGAGATCTAATTATCTGTCTGCTGGAGTTGTAGATCCACTTTCCTTGTAACACCAGTATTTCATTAACTATTCATCCAACAATCAATACTATTACAGCCATCTCATTGAGCATTGCACATACATCTTAAAGTCAAATTGGACAGTGACATGTGACTCTTAAAGGCAAAATCCTCGGATTTTCATTACTACATTTTGCACAAGAATATGCTATTTCCTACAATATTCATATGTTTTAACAATTTACTCTATTTGTCCTGTGAGAATTAACTTCTTTTTTTTAAATGTGCGAAATGTAAACATGCCCCTAACAATTTTGTAATAGTTTGCAAATATTCTAAGAAGTTACACAATCTGAGGAAATAACTGACAGGGTAAACTGTTTCTTTGATCACATCATGTTACTAGATCCAACCTTCCAGCAGGTTGTTAGTCAGACAGCAAATTGACATGTCTTTTCAAATGTGAGTTGTGCTGAAAATATTTCTTCGACCTACTATACATTCTTAGCAACTTACACTTCTGACTGATAACTAAGATGCCTTTAGTCAATGATAGTTGTGTTGAGGCAGAATAACACAGATGGTTTAACTATCCTAAAATATTGTTAATAGTTATCTCTTCATAAATACCCAGTGAACGGAAAATGCAGTTTGTGGAATTTCATTTAAAACAATGTACCTTTATCCATTATAAGGAATTCCTTGGAGCCATTGACTACCCTGTAATATAACCGAATCTGCGGTATTGCAAAGATCTTCATAGTGAGAGAAAACTGTATGTTGTTTTTTTCTCCTACCATACTTTTCTTTAAAGATCAAATTTATCTTATTTTGTGTTTCATATATTGTTGTTTCACAGTTGATAACATGATGACTTTTAAACCAAATGTGAAATATATTCAACTTTACAAAGCCAGTAGAATCTACCAATAGGCAAGCAGAGTTGCCTGAGAAATGCTGTCAATACTTGATGAGGAACATACAGTTGAAACGGTGCAGTCATTTTTAATGTTTCAGTTGTTTCCTCATTGTTGCATCTTCTAGAGGCAAGGGTGTTACATGACTGTAAAAGTCCAGTTTCCATCCTTGCCGAACAAGGCTGGAATTCTGGGGATACATTTTGGCTGGACGGTGCATAAGCCAATCAAACTCGTGCAACTAACTAGACATCCGGTTCGTAAACAAAATTGATTTCAACAGATAAGCTGCTGATAAGCTGCATATTTGTGTAAAATACCCCAAAGAATATTCAAAACCCAAATACTTTCAATTAAGTTGCGTACTGAAACGCATGCATTAAATGAAAAACTTAAATGTACATGTATAGAAAAAGCATGCGTAGTTACCCAATGATGCCTACAACAGAGCTAATTTCCGAAACACAATTACGAACTAATTTACTTTCTGAGTCAAGTCTTTAGTTAAAACCCTTATATATACATCTGAAACATTATTTTTTACTTTTTTTGAAATCTCAAAATGTCAGCTCATCTTGGGGAAAAAACAATAGAGTGATGAAAAAATGAGTGAAAAAATATTGGTTACCCAATGTAAAATGTAATAACCCAATTAAAATAGAAACCTTCGAGTAAAAACTCAACTGCTAAAAAGTTATCTGGAGCTCTGAAGTGATATGAGAGGTGGGATCTGATAGGAGAGACATAGATGGGACAGAACTCATAAAAGCTACTAATGGCTCTGCGAACGAGCCACGAAATTCCAGAGTAGTCCAAAAGGGTGGAAACTTGACTTTTGTAGTCAGTTAACGCCCCTGCCTCGGGAAGATGTCATTGTAGAGGTTGTGCCATCCTTAACAGAAATCTGAATGGAGTAAATTGTGCATCTAAATATTTGTTTTTAGACATTTCAAAGAAGTGCCACACAGTCTGCAATGGCTGCTAAAAAAGGAGATAGTTCAACTGAACAAGGGAGATAACTCTCAAGTATTCAAGTAGACATCATACCAAATCGCCATTTCAGTCCTACTATACTCTCATAATGCCATGTCTTGTGATATTCCCATATAAAAATACATAAAGCCTTTGAAATGTTATTTTCATGTGACAATGTTGTAATGGTTATCATTTAAGGGAATAGCAAATATTGGATATCATAAGATCGTAACCACATGAAAATATTCCCATATTTCCTTGTATCTGACATTTATTTAGATAGAATATCAGTAGCAAACTGTCAAAAAAATTGGACATGTTAACAATTATTCATGTTTTCATCATACAGCCCTTAATTAACTTCACTATTTGGATATGTTATGTGGTAAAGTTAATTAACCGCAAGACATTGAATTGACTAATTAACTTCAATAAACAGAACTGGACTAATTAACTTGATACACAGAGCAGGAAAAGTAATCAATACTGATGATTTATTTAGTGGTCCTTCAACATGTACCAGTTCATATTAAGCAAAATTCAAAACACTTTTCAGGTATTTCTGAGCAATGTTAAATTTGCATATCAGTACTGCCTTTTTCAATTCTTATAACTTTGATGCATAATAATAACCTAGATCTTATGCCAGTGTGTCTTAGAAATAGGCCTGCATTAATATTCATTAATGCAATATTTAAAACAGCAATTTATTCTGATTCTTAACTTAACTGCAACATGAGGATTGGAATATAATGCCTTTTAACCTTAATTGTGAAACTTTATCTTCCTCCAATAATTTGATAATGTTTTTAGAATGAAACGTGTAGATCTACTGAGGGTCTTATAGCTGTACATCGCAACTTGTTAACTAGTAAATAGGCACACTGAAAACGTAACTTGAGAAATGTTTGAATTAGGTATTGCGATTCTTACAGTTTCATACTAAACTTCTGTGAAAAGGCTTGAAAAATCATTGACAAAAAAACATTAATTATTTCATATCATATTTGTGTATTATAAAGCTAATACCCATATTTTTATTTAACGTAACCTTCAGCTCCATTCAAAATAAGATTCCTATCCCCTCAACAATGTAAATCAAAAGAGGAAGGAGTTGAAAGATGAATTTTGTGGTTTATGCTGACAGTCTGAAATCTTAATATACGACAGATATATTTTTCCAGAATTTAATTGCCCATAATTAAGGATGCATATAACACACAAGTGCATATTATACGCGAATAAATAAGTCTTGTGTGCATTGATCAATCGGAAGGAGTGCTAATTGGGATGGTTCACTAGTCAATATATTAGCACATATCGCTGTGGGCGCTTATCAGAGTGGGGCGCTTATTACGTCGAATACAGTATATGCTTTCTCCTTCATCAGGTGAATTATAAAGGAGTAAGCATATACTCCGAAACATTGTGTTCCTCATAATAAAAAAGTTGTCATCCATAAATTCTCTTATTTATGTGTATCACATCTAAATGCCTTTCAAAGATTTGATGTAAAACAAGCTTGGGTACTTTACTATTTGCTTATATATTCTGGTTGTCATTTATTCTATTACATGCATGATGAATATAACTGTACGTGTTGTTCCGTGTAGACTCATCAGTTTTCAAGAGCTTGATGTTCTTACAAAATGCAATCCGACTCCGTACAAAAACATCACCTAGTCGCAGGCGATGGCAACTCAGCTTTTCACACTTCTGACAGGTGTGCACGTGCATCTCCTGCTTACCGTAAATAGATGTGCTGAATGCGAGCATGTCGACTTACCTGTATCAATACAATAGAATATTCTGTAATCTGTGTTGCACGTGTATCCCTTCTGATTCTGTACTTTCTTCCCCGTCAGTCAAAGAAGCACACCCATGTGGCAGTGTTACTCTCACTACAAGCACGAACCACCGTGAGGACTTCGCACAGCCATGTTTACCGTTCCTACCATAAACAGTTACTAGCTGTTCCTAGTATTGCCACCACTCCCTCGGGGTGGTAAACGAGACGGTACTATTTTCATCCGTTGATATGAACTAAGATCATCACCAGCTGATTAAGTAGATAAAGATGGTATTATGATTTAAAGGATGACAGATAAATATTTATCAAATGAAGACAAGAAACTATTCTACACGAAATTTTATGATTACCTGTAAATCCCATTAAGGGGAGAAGAGATGTCGCCACAAGAGCAATTCACGTTTTACTTCGCGAGACCTACCTGTGGTACCATGACGACAGGTGCGCGCTTCAAAATGGCGACTATCCGTCACAATAGAGGAAGGGGAGCGAAAGCGTCATAGGACTCAAGGAATACTATTTCATGCGTGAATGGGAGAGATATTTTTAATATAAGTAAGTTGTAACAATTATGTGGTCAATATTAGTTTATATTACAGCAAAGTCGCAACATTGTAGAACAGTTTTAACGCCATTTCACAGTTTGCATGACCTGGCTCCGAGCGTCAAGGAGAAAGTAACACAATAACACCTGTCTGTCTTTTGTTGACCATGCTTTAAGGATACTATCCCCTTTGAAAGGAAACGCTTTAATATCGGAATTGAAAAGAATGGGTGTGTGTGTGTTGTAAACACTGTTTCACAATCCTAAACGTTGTCACTGGCAGTGTGATTTAACAATGTTTTGTTGCAAAGCATGACACCACAACAAGTAAAATTATAATTAGATTTTTTATCTTTTACTGGTGGTAAAACAAGGACTCAAACCTTTCCAATGAATTGTGAAAAAATAGCTCTAATGGATTTTAATCCCCAAACACTGAGGAGATAGATAAATCTGCAATTATTCAATGGTTATATGACATATTGTGCAGGATGTGAAAAGATGTTATCTCATGTTAGCATTTTGACGCTCCCACAAGTTTCTGTCAGAGAAATTGCAGAAATTCTGTCCAAGTATAATGACCACACTTTCTGCAGAATTTAGGTAATATGTACAATTTTCATCAACTGGTAGATGGCCAAATCACCATGATCTGGGAAAGGCCTTTGAATTTGGGGGGAAGGAAGGTGTTTGTAAAAATATATGGTGTGGCCTAAAGTGAAGACCTAAAACAAGATTGTTCACCTCTAAAATAAATAAACTGCCATAGAGCTCCAGATAAGCTGCGTATCTGTGTAAAATACGCATAAAAAATGCAGAAATACGCAGTAAAATAAAATCCAAGCGTATCAAATACGCAACGAACATTACAGATTCGCTACAAAAATAAAACTTGTGCGTATCTTCAAAATATTGTGAAGTAACCCTGCATATTTGATTAGCAAATCAGCAACTTATTTTGAAATTATAAACGGACATTCCGTCAACCTTGCCAAACTCCACGATGACAGTTACATCATGATCATTTGCCATCACACTTTCTTGTGGAAGTATCGTGGTATTTTTGAGTCCTATAAAGCTCTCGAACCCACACGACACCAGTTTGCAGGGACTAGATGAATAGTGTTTTTAAATATTTAACTTAAATACCCACATGTGTAAAAACTAGTGGGTAACAGAAATTTGAATACCCAGATAGAATTACTGATACCCAATGATTTTAAAATGCATGGGTAAAATACCCACAACACCAAAAGCTTATCTGGAGCTCTGCTGCCAAAAGAAAACAGGGATCCTTTACATGTTTCACCTAACATGGATGACTAGTAAATATTTCATCACTCTTGATTGGTTTACAAACATGTTAAAGAAATTATTATATAATAATTTTCCTGAAACAGATTTATTATAGCAGCTATTTTTGTATGTTATATTCAACAGACAGGTTTTTGTTGTGGTACAAATCTGTATTTAGTAACCAAAACAAATTCAATAGTTTTGATTGGAAAATATGTAATTCATAAATTAAAAATTAATGAGCAATTAACAGGCAAGTGGTTCAGTTGCCTTATTTACTCATCACCAAATCATTCCATTACAGGATCTTGTCATGTCTGAAGTGGGTGTAGAAACTATGCCGACTCTACAAGAACGGGAACGTTTAATGAACACCTTGTCTCCACACTACAGTGGTTTTACCCCTCGGCCAGTCGAGCAGCTATCAAGACAAAGAAAACCACAAAGTTCCCTAGACATAGAATGCCACCATTTTCTCCGTACCAAATCTAAGCACTTCACACATGGAAACCCAACACTTGAGTATCGTCTGTGGCTGGAGGCAGGGAAACACCAGCCACCGTTTCCAGAGCGACCAGATTCAAGTTACAACAGCAATGTCTGGCGGAACTTTAGGCGCCATTATGGTTTTGATACAACAGCTGAAGGAAGGAAAATGTCGGATGTTATAGCAGCCATGTACCCACTGAACATTCCAGCGCCGTCCAAAGTGGGAGACAACACATTTCATAAGTACATCATGGAGTCCCGCATATTTGAGGATGACAAGTACAAGATGATGGCCATACAGAGAACAAAGGCTGATGTAAAGGAGTTCAAGAAACTGAAGATAAAGACAGAGTCCAGGAACCCTCCATTAGATGAAGATGGTACAGTATTTGTTGTTGTTTATAGACAAGGTTTGGTTAGTTCTTATTTGGTTATTTTCCATTTTTCCATTCAAAAATCCTTGTATTTTAGTGCCAAGGAACAGTTCAAATTGTAATGTCATCGTTAAGGTTAAAAATAATTGTCTTCACTCTTGGTTCTCAGGCACCGCCTGCATCACCGTAAAGTCTGCTGCACGTTTTTATTTTATCACAATCACAATCCAACTGTTACTTTCATGATCTGATAAGCGATGCTCTGATTGGTCAGATGAAAGGTCATTCTGACATGACCCACAATGGGATGTCCTCAGATCTTTGTTGAGCGGTAGCGAGAACTAAGATCTGATTTTAATGAGATTGAAAAATACTTAAACTTCACAACACAGTTACTTCCCTTAACATGTTCACTGCTTTACTGCGAATCTCGTATTATGGTCATGGCGGGAATAGGAGTTTGAATGCTTGTTTTTGTAAGGAGGTTCTTTCCCAGGTTGATGAAACACAACTGTTTATTTGGTTACATACTAGTTTGAACAAGCAAAAAAAAAAAAAACCACCACCAGTCCACACAATATTTTCAAAAGTCATTGCCTGAGAACCAATTCTTATATTTTTTTAAGCCTAAGAGTTCCCTGTGCCTGACTAATAACCTGTGGTATTTAGTCATCATGTGGTCCTTATCATTCACTCACTGTCAAGGTCACAGTGTAGTCCTTATCATTCACTCACTGTCAAAGTCACATTGTAGTCCTTATCGTTCACTCATTGTCAAGGCCACATTGTAGTCCTTATCATTCACTCACTGTCAAAGTCACATTGTAGTCCTTATCATTCACTCATTGTCAAAGTCACATTGTAGTCCTTATCGTTCACTCATTGTCAAGGCCACATTGTAGTCCTTATCGTTAACTCACTGTCAAGGTCACATTGTAGTCCTTATCATTCACTCACTGTCAAAGTCACATTGTAGTCCTTATCGTTCACTCATTGTCAAGGCCACATTGTAGTCCTTATCATTCACTCACTGTCACATATCTTGTTACAAATGTTATTTCTGTTGTTTATCTCAAATACCAACCCTGTAGTGGCATCCATTGGCCTGTTCATAACTACATTTTGCTGGCGCCAAGAGGATGGTTCCCTCCTAAATATCTTCCTTCCAGGGAATGATCTCTACTGCAGCTTCTCAATCCTTTAAAGTGTTACACATATATTAGTTAGAGGCTAGAAGCCCAGGGCCCCGTTCCACAAAGCAATCTTAGTGCTACAACTGTCGTAAGTCAGTGTTAAAGAATGGGAGTAACAATCACCTTAGCGCTAAGATCGCTTTGTGGAACACGGCCCTGGTGTCTGTTTTGGTCAGAATACATTACATTTTGAATCAGAGTGACTCAGTGAGTGAGTAGCCATGTTGTTTGTTGTTGTTTTTGAAAACCTCTTTGCTAAAATATATAGTAAAGAAATAATCTTCATTCATTTGCTGGGTGTGGTGAGTGCTATATCCCTGTGGATAAGGCATGTAAGGCATTGGCTCGTATTGCTAAAGATGCGGGTTTGTTTCCCGACAATAGTAACAGGTATGGAGACCATTTCTGATGTTCCCACTGTGATCGACCTGGAATATGACTAACTGGCATAAAACTCGACTCTCTCATTCACTCATCCTTTTGTAGGGTCGTCCAACATGTCCAATGATTGCGGCTAAGGTGAAGGTGATATATAGCTGGGTAATGATAACCCCATCACATAAACTCAAAAATTGTTCTTTTCTATTTGCAGGAAATATCCTGCCACCAGAAAATTACAAGAGATATGTTCCCCGTTTCTTTGCTCCCCAAGAACTGCCGCCATCTCCACAGGTGTACCACAAGACGGACATGTTTGGGCAGCGCTACGTGCCCCGCTCCAGACCCCACCTGTATCAGCTGACGTACGCCATGAACCACCCAGAGTATGACGCCATTAGGAAGGAGATTCTACTTCGCCGAGAAATGCTGGAAAAGAAGAAGGAACAGTCGGGACCGTCGAGAGTCATCCCAACACCAACGTCATCAAAATACCACTGAGTGAAGCAGGGCAGATAACTCTGTGTACTGCTATAACTCTTTCTCTCCATGCTGTGAGATCGAGAAATGTCTTCAATATACAGTTAGGGGTGTTTAAGGACATTCTCAAAGCAGAGGTTTAGGTTAATGTGACTACTAGTGGTCAAGTGAAAGGCTGGTAAAGTATCAGGAATATAGGGCCAGGGATCCATACTGCACGGAAAGCAATCAAACCTTGCTCAGGAAAGGGATTTACTGGATACTACAGTCATATGCTAAAAAAACACACAAATTTCCCGAAGAAAAAATATATGTACCCTCAGTAGGTGGTATCATCCTGGAGTACACAAAACATAAAGACAGGCTGGCCATCTGGGTTGATCTGTTGTCTTTAGTTATCACATGTGTGTTGACTGTTGTATACAGTCAAACGTCATTGTGTGGAATTCACGGTTGTCTCAAACTCACTGAGGCTTGACTGTAATTCTAAAGTTGAAGAACAAAATAATTTGTCATCATCTTCATCTTCATACAGTCTGGTAAAGATTGACTTACGATGTGAAGGTAAAGTTATTTTTCAGGGCATTATCTTTTGCAGAAGTCTGAGATCTACCATTAACTGCCTCACGAAGGAGGGCAGTTGAACAGAGGGTTTCTGCAAATGATAAAGCTCTAAAAGAACATTGTTACAATTGTTATACTTAAAATGGATAGAATTGTAGATATTCCTAAACAACAAAACAGCAGCATGAATTTAGTGGTTGTATTATGAAGTCACAACAGAAGTCAATGATTTACAAATACAACACGTAGCAGGATAACTATAAATAAAGGATGACTTCGCAAACAAAAGTTATATAGGGAAATGCAGGCTGCTATCAAGTTACAGTGGCCTGCTGATTTCTGATAACATGCAGGCATTTTTATGATAATTCTATTCATTTGAGCTTTGATATAGATTAACAGTGGTCAACTTAACAATCACAAAGAATATTAATTCTTTGCCAGATTTATATTTTGATGATTCAATATCTTCAAAGAATGCTTGACAAGACTGGGAGCACATGAGTGAAGAACCTAAACATTTCTGGTGATGGTGTTTCCGTTGTGCTGAGGAGACTGAGGCTCCAATACCTTTTTAGGGGTCAATAACCCAGGCCTCCTGGAATTCCAAAGTGCCACTTCGTGGCTAGCTGTTTGTTCAATATTGAAAAAATACAGTCCCCGTGTACATAATATTACTGTGATCCAGTCTGTTTGAACAAAGACCATAAGTCTCCGTGAAGGGGGGCGGTTGGGTAGCCTAGTGGTTAAAGCGTTAGCTCATCATGCCAAAGACCTGGGTTCTATTCCAAACATGGGTACAATGTGTGAAGCCCATTTCTGGTGTCCCCAGACATGATATTGCTGGAATATTGCTAAAAGTGGCATAAAACCATACTCACTCACTCACTCACTCTGTGAAGGAGTGTGTACGAGAGTTGTGTCTGTGAAAGCATGCAGAGTGCTTATGCAACAGAGCCCTTACTGGGATAGCTGTACAGTTTTACTTCAAGTCAGGTTCTGGGATGGCATGCACACTGAAAGTTCATAGCGCTCCTTAAGGAATCACAATGTATGTACCTGTGTCATTGAATTACAATATTATGAATACTGAGAAATAAGCTCAAGGCTTTCATTTATATCAACTAGTAACAGATTTGAGAACGATGAATGTGGAAAAAAAGAAGAAATTGTACCTATGTTTGAAGGGCAGGTACCCTGTGTAGTATACACTACTCCACCTTGATAGGGGTACTTAGATACGTCATTCTATTTAAACATACACTTGACATAGTATGAGAATCAGTTTTGTGAATCATGGAAAGAAAAGAAATATCCCTATCAAAAGTAGAGCAGTATAGCATGGGTACCGTTTTTTTTAAGTATCATGCTCAAGATATATATATACTCCAAAGCCATTTCAAGTATTAACCCAGTCTGTGTAAAAATCCTAGATGCCTCAAGCTCAAATATTCAGAATGATTTTCAGTAGATTTTACTAAAAACAATGGCTATTTCAAGCTATGTTCACTTGCCAAACAGAAATTGGCTGGAGTAAGACTTCTGAAGCACAGACTGGTAACACCTGGTATTTACTCTATTTACAGAATCATATCAAGTCAGATCTTTAACTCTGATATACTTCCTCTCTGCATGTAGATCTGACAACACACAATGTCGGGTCAGGTTGAACTTTGAATCAGCCAATCAGTGTTGAGGGGTTTAAATTCTTGATACGAGTGTTCATAAAATTCAGTGAGATTGTATGTTCATAAAAATAGCACATTGCCTAAGCACACAATTCAACTTACCTCCTATATACTCTTGTATTCATGTTTATCAACATTGTTACAGTTTTAGTAACAATTAATTAATGCCAAACCTTTTTGTGATATTCTATTTATGTAACATTTACCCCCATATTCCCATATTGCCTTTATGTCCTATAGTGTCAATACAACATACAACCAAAGCAGAAATAAGTGGCCTTAGCTAAATAAATAAGCATTGATTCAGATGTTTTTATTCACATAGGTGAATGTTAGTGCTATGTATTCATATTAAAACAAGCCATGTATTCATAAGGATCTTTAATATGCATATTGTGTTTTTTTGTAAATATAAATAAAGCTTAAAAAAATTAGTCTTGGTTCTCAGGCTCCGCCCGCATCATCATATAGTCTGTCGCACGTTTCGTTTTTATTTCCATAAAAATCCTAATACTTAAAAAACAGTTTGATCCAATGTAACACACAGTTACTTCCCTTTACATGAGCACTGCTTTACTGTGCAACTCATGTTTTTGTAATGTAGCAATAGGAGTTTGTATGCTTGTAGGGAGACCCTATCCCAGGTTGATGGTACATTGTTTATTGGGTAACAAACTAGTTTGAACAAGCAAAATAAAAAAGCACTGCCCACTCGCACTATATTCTCAAAAGTCATTGCCTGAGAACCAATTCTTATATTTTTTTAAGCCTAATATTACCCGTTTTTAAGTAGGGGCTCGGGTGGCCCAGTCTTAAGGCGCCACAATTCGCTATGCAGAGTGGCGTCCCTTGGGCATGCCTGAAAAATTTGATCGTGGGTTGGAATACCGGTTCGCCCCCATTATGTTTCTATGTTGGTCAGCACCATACCTGCATTGTGGGTTTCACCAAAGTGGTAAAGGTCTATGACCTGCATCACTTCAGGCTTTCCTCCCACATCAAACTGACACGCCGTGATATAACTGGAATAGTGTTCAAAGCGGTGTTAAACTCACTCTCTCACCCAATTTAAGTCAGGTCTGCAAACTTATGAGAACATTATGACACTACTTACCAAACATTTTATGTCGGTTCAAGTCGTTAGGTTCGTCATGAATTAATGGGATGTCTACGGATTTCAGGCCAAAGTTAAATCATATGGCGGCTAGTTATATTTAATGTTTGTAATCAGAGGTCGGTCGTGTGTCCCATTTGAATTCCTTAGAAACTCCTAATTGGTGGTTGTGGGTTTCCTTGCATTGACAGAGAATTATTTGTGGGACGATACACCAATGTATCAGTGGATCGTGACTTTTTACCTCTCGATACAAGTATCGATCACAGTCGTACACTAAGTAAAAAACATATTTTCTTACCTTAAATGTTTGCTTTGATGACAGTTACACCAAACACACTAATGAGGAGTGAAAATTAGTCGTGAAGATGTAAATATTTTCATCCACTGCGTCATACTTGACGCTGCCAACTGTAAATCATCACCATGCCAGGTATTTGGGAATCCTGTCTATGAAAAAAATGGCTTAGGGACTACAGATAAGAGCACATGCAAGTATCGTGATACATATCGGATCATGAGTAAGGTATCTGATCACACAGTTGGTGTATCGTCCCAGCCCTAGAGAACATGTTCTCTCCATCACAAAGTCATTTACAACTTTGATGTAATTGATGTCGAGTGGTGATAGTATGCCAGTAAGATGGTCGTAAGAGTGAAAAGCTTCCAATTGTTAGTTATTGTGGGTTTTTTTCCAATTTGAGTCAATAAATATTATTGTGCATAATGATAATCAATGTAATAAAACATTACAATAACAAAATTATTTTGTTTGTATTTACTAACTCTTTGTTATCATTAGGTCTTTGGCCTAGGACCAGTGAACAGCCGGGTAGAGAATACGTCTTCAGCAACCTTTGCTTTCCAAAAGAGGCAACTAACGGGATCGGGTGGTCAGACTCACTGACTTGGTTGATGGGTGTCATTGTATCCCAACTGCATAGGACCCATGAAGATCCGGGGTAGAATAGCTCTTCAGCAACCCATGCTTGCCGTAAAAGGTGACTGCTTGTCGTAAGAGGCGACTAACGGGATCGGGTGGTCAGGCTCGCTGACTTGGTTTATTGCATGTCATCGATCCCAATTGTGTGGATCGATGCTCATAATATCAATCACTGGATTGTCTGGTCCAGACTCAATTATTTACAGACCGCCATCACATAGCTGGAATAGTGCTGAGTACTGCGGTAAACAACAAACCAAACAAAAGTAGATGGGGATGGTTCAGTGCATTGGTTAGCAGTAGGTGAGGTGAGATGAATTGGGGTTTAAGGTTTGTGCAAGATTATCCACTTATGTGTTTCCAAATGTAAATGCATACATGCATGGGTGAACTAGTCCAGATGATTGCCGATTTTATAGTACTAGCCCACTGCCATACCATGCTGCAGTTTAACATGGATATGTCACTCAGGCACAAAATACGGACTCAGATCTGACCAGTCCTTATTTTATCCCCTTAATGCCGAGTTCCAGGCAGGGTAACAAGTACCATCTTTTAACATCTATTGGTACGGCACGGCCAGGGGATAAGCCAACAACCTATTGCCCTTCAAGCAGACGCAGAAGGTTGTTGATGCCAGAGAAACAACATGTACCATCTTTTGGTAAGATACAGTTGGGCATCAAACCACCTGCCTACCATTCTATGGGCAGCTTCACTTTGGTCTAGGTGGAGCTTGTAGCAGATGATTCAATTTGGTCAAGGTGAAATGCAATTTGGAGCAGAGAGATTATTTTTGGTCTCGATGAAGTGCAGTTTGGAGCAGAGAGATTCAATTTGGTCAAGGTGAAATGCAGTTTAGGTGAGTAAGTGAGTTGGGTTTAATGCCGCTTTTAACAGTATTCCAGTTATATCGCAGCGTGTCAGCTTAATGTGGGAGGAAAGCACGAAGTGATGCAGGTCTTAGACATTTACCACTTGGTGAAACCCACGAGCACGGGTATGGTGCTGACAAACCTAGAAACATAATCGGGGCGAACCTGGTTTCCAACCCACAATCATAGGTTCCTGGCATGCCCAAGGGATGCAACTCCGCACAGCAAATCGCAGCGCCTTGGACTGGGCCACCCGTGCCCCCGAAATGCAGTTTGGAGCAGAGAGATTCAATTTGGTCTCGATGAAGTGTAGTCTGGAGCAGGTAGATTAAATGTGGTCTAGATGGAAGTGCAGTCTGGTGCAGATAGATTCAATTTGGTCAAGGTGAAATGCAGTTTAGTGCAGATAGACCATGGATTACTTGGGAGAGACACGGCAACAAGTCTGTTTGTCAAAGACAAGTAAAAGTGCAGATGATCTGTATTAACTGTGCTCTGGATGACGTGAGGTTTGGTCTGATGGGGTTTGGAGCAGATGACCAACCCCAAAGCAAAAATAAATCAATAATAAGATTTCCACCCCTGCTTTTTTCCTTTTTTCCTTTTTTTGATGTGATATGCCATATATATATATACACACTCCTTAAGTTGAGTTAAAAGCAAATAACACAAGGCCGTCTTTCTCTAAACATTTAATGATCATGTATGCAGCTTAAAAATGCTTACACCACAGGAATATCACAGTTAAATAGCAATATGTTGTTTTCTTGACAACTCAACCCAAAAAAAACAAGTAAGGCCATTAAAAAATAATTATTAGATTTTCAACCCAGTCGCCTCACATAATTTTATTGCCCCGTAGTAACAACAACATATGTTCACTCCTTTCTTTCCTTCATCATGAGATGACACGCTACATGAAAGTTCCAAGTATTCATGCTTCATGTGAATCACAAGGACATAAAGAGTACAGAACTGCTTGGAGCAGTTTGTTCAAAACAAAGGCCTCTTGCCTCATAATGTTAAAATTTTTTGGATGAAATCTTATAATTAATTGATGGTGGCCTTCACAAGCTGGACTCAATGCCAAGATGGATAACTGATACAACATATTCTTCCGCAGAATGTTTTCATGGGAAACACTGCAAACTACACGCACCAGATATAACCACAGGTGTCATGCACACACATCCTACAATGTCTGACCAGGGAGGAACCTGGTCGTAGTCCTCATCAATACTTCACAGGTTTTGTATACATTACGTTCCTACACGTCTTCCCGAAGCAAGTGAGTTAACTGACTATAAAAGTCCAGTTTTCACCCTTGCCAAACTAGGCGTCAATAATGGAGTTATATTTTGGCTGGACTAACGAGTCTGTGCATAGTCCAATCAAAATCACGCAACGAAATCGAAATCCGGTTCGTAAACTGTCATGCAGATTTCGGTCGATTGCAGGTTTTGCAAGGCATGTGCACAAGCAACTCGTCAACAGATATTTTCGAAATCTTTTCATGTTTCAAGGTGCTCACGTGATTTGATGCACTTTGCAATTTTAGACTTTTCTTATCACAACATTGATCTTGATTATCGATCAGATCGTCTTGACTGGACGCCGCCATTTTGTTTGAAGCAAATGCAAGCGATTGGTCCATAGGAGAGGCATAGAAGGGACATAACTCGTAATAGCCACAGGTGGCGCTACGATTGAGCCCAGGAATTCCAGCCTGGTTCGGCAACGGTGGAAACTGGACTTTTAAAGTCAGTTAACTCTCTTGCCTTGGGAAGATGGTAGCTACATCACATGTTAATACATGGAGTAATAGTGGCGAGTGGTTAGCAAATGAAATGAGGCAGTTTTTAACTTGTGGAAGTCCAATGAACCGTTCTCCATGCATGAACTATGAGAATACTATCATTGCCTGATGTTGAACGAAGGTAAAGAGCACAAGATTGTTTTGTTGCTTTGCTGTTAAAACCCGCACTCACAAAGCAATACTCCAACCTTAAGATCATGATCGCAACCTGTAATCAGACAATCCAGTGATTGGTATTGTAAGCAATGACCACATCGCTGGGGTACGAGTACACGCTATCAACCAAGTCACAGAGTCTGACCACCCGATCAATTTTGTAGCCACGTATGACCAGCATCTGTTGCTGGGGAACCAATTCTAACCCAGAATCATATTCCCGTTTTTGTGGCGTAATGAGTGTTCAGTGGTTTCCCTCTTGCTGGAACTAGATCGTGTCGTGATTCGTTGCAAAAAATGGCATCTTGACTGCATATTGCTGTGTATACAAAATCTGTAAAGTAATGATGATGGGCTGTATTATGCTGGGAAAAAAACGTAAGTACACTCCTAAGATCATCATCAATATTTCATGGGTTTGTATATGGTACGTTCCTCCCTCAACGAATTAAGTAAAGGCCTGGTTTCAGCAAGGGGGAAGCCAGCTACAGCTCTGACCTATCAGTATCCAGCTTACATCAGACCACAATACCAGGCAATGGCTCATACAATAACAAATTAAGGCTCATTGGACGTCCATGAGTCATAAACAGCTTCATTTCATAAGCTCATTAAAAACAGTCGCAAATACACCAATAGTGACCATAGACATTTGTAGCAGGGCATGGAGTCAGTAATTGCAGATGGGGTTAACCTCTTTGGTCATGTGGACAATTCACCCAATGTGGGGAGGAGCATGTTCATATCAATTTTTTAGCAAAATAAGTCTCAGTAGCATACATCTGTTGATGGGGGAGGATGTAGCAGGGCGCTGAGTTATCCCATAGATGAAATCTTCACCTTGTCAATTTGCTGACCGAGTTAACCTTTTTGGTCATGTGGTCAAGGCATCCAATCTCGGATCAGTAGGTCCGTGGTTGACTTACGGGATCAGGTGGTCAGGCTCGCTGACTTGATTGACGCATGTTATCGATCTCAAATACGTGGACTGATGCTCATGATATCAATCACTGGATTGTCTGGTCCAGACTCAATCATTTACAGACCGCCGTCATATATCTGGAATATTGCTGAGTGTGGCGTTAAACAACAAACCAACCAAACTAATCCATGGTTGAAGTCCCATCAAGGGACTCAGACGGTTATGGCCATTACATATTCATGGGATATGGAGGAACGTGGTGTATACCTACCCAAGAAGTATTCATGATGTTCTGAGGAAAAATACATTTTACAAATAAAATAAGAATATCTAATTATATAAACTGAGAAGACCAATTCATTAATCCCTCTTCAATAGTAACAAAATAGTCCACCATGTAGAAAAGGAAAGCTTATTTTTAATCACATATACAGTAGAAAAAAACTCTTTGTTTTATCCAAATGTTGCAGCCAATATTTCTTTATTCACATCAATTTCTTTTTGATGCCTTGGTATTATTAAAATGAAATATTGCTGATAACAATGAAAAAAACTAAGGTAAAAAAATCAAAACATGCAAAACAAATGGCACACCACATCCAGATTTCCCAATAGACACATCTTTTGTCATAATGACAATTAAACGCCATTAAACAAGAAATAAAACTGAGTGGTGCTCATTTTCATTATAAAAAAAACAATAATGACCTCTTCACCACACTGAGGTGTCTTTTCTATTTTACTGTGAACATTTCATGATTTTTACATGATGTTAATTGTTATGAAATAATGTCAGATGATCTTTCTCGTTTTCAGTGTTAAATAAACAATAGACATGATAGATATGGCGTCATAGGGTGGTAGCATGAAAAGTACAAATATTTCATACTCAGACAATGATTCCAATGAAATATTGTGGTTTGGAGCTGTCTTTTTATGCTTAGCTCAAGTATATTCATCTATTATAGAACAGTAAGTTTGGATTAACACCGGTGTGAACAGGTATTCAGCTATAATATCATGTCAGCTTAACATGGAAGGAAAACCTTAAGTGGTCTTTCACGTCTACCTCTTTGGTGAAACCCATCACCAAGGTTTACTCACAAATTATATTTTACATTGGGTATTGATAGTTTTCTTTGGTAGCCAGATATTTTAACTCCATAGTGTCCAGTCTATTTGGTATTTTTTTAAACCAATGAGAGGACCTTTTTCTGCTTAAAGTGTTGTGTGAGGACATTTCTAATTTATGTAGCTGTTAGTGTGCTGCCCCAAGTGTCTAACATTAACATTAACTCACAACAGCAAGTTACTTGTCTAACAATATACAAGATGAAGAACCTTCTCAATGTATTTTGCACTTGTTGAGTTCATGTATGTAAAGATCTATATAGAAATACAGGTATGCAAGTTGAAAAAGATAATATTGGGTAATTATGTGTGTTGTTACACTATTGTTTATCAAAAACAAATATGCAGCATATCTAGAGTTAATTATATACTGTAAATCTTGAAATTAATATGTCTCCATCATGTCCATGTGCGGAAGGCGCATGTTAAATCCCCAATTAGAAGAAGAAGCTATCCAAAGTGTGCAGTGAGGCCATCTTATTGTTGTTAGTCATTTTGAAGACATAAATGTGAAGATTCATTAATGCGAACAAAGACCACTCACATTTTTCACATTTAATTCACGCTCGCTTTAATTTCAAGATTTACAGTATATAACAGACATCTGTAGAAGATATAGTCATTAGTTTTAACCCACTGCATAGTGTAATATAAGTTAGAAGACTCAAATTAAAGGTAGGTGAGTGAGTGAGTGAGTGAGTGAGTGAGTGAGTGAGTGAGTGAGCTTGTTTTCAGCTTGACAAGTCTACACTATAATCACCAGGCAACTCTCCCGCCCTTTAGGTGGTACATTTGAAAGGAAAACAATCAATTATGTTAGGTCTCATTGTGTACCGAGGTTGTGCAGAGAAGTTATCTTAAATCAAATAGTGAAAATTAACAATTGCTGTAACTAACAAAGGCTTGCAGAAATTCATTGCGTGTTTGTTTCCATCCTCAATGAGCCAGGGTATAATATCTTCATTCTATTATCATAAATACCTTGGATAACTGAGGACGAGTCAGCAACTCAAGACTACACTCAGGCTGTGTATTGGAATGGACAATAACATAATCAGTTCCAACAGAAATGTCTGTGGTCACATACTCAATAAGACCCACAAATCTGGAAACATGACGTTTATCTCCTAAACTTGCTAAATGGTAGTGTGATGATTACATGAGGGCCAAGTGAAGCCATCATTCACACAAGCAATGTCAGATTAATTCACTGAAGAATCACTTCTTGAAACTCAACCAGATCATTGGCATTAGCAGCAATGTGTTTCTCAAGCATTGGCAACAATATTAAAGATACATGTAGTCAACATACTGTATTCGACGCAATAAGCGCCCAGGGCGCTCTCAAAATTAAGAATAGGGGGCTCTTATTAGAATACTATTTTGGTGGAGAAAAAACAGACTTGAAAGATAAATTTCGTGGTTTATGCTGACAGCCTGAAATGTTTATGTACGACAGATATATTTTTGCAGAATTTAATAGCCCATAATTAAGGGTGCATATAACACACGGGTGCGTAATATATGCGAATAAATAAGTCTTGTGTACATTGATCAATCGGAAGAGGTGCTAATTGGGATTTTCACTAGCCAATATATTAGCAAATATCGCCATGGGCGCTTATTATGTCGAATACGGTAAAGCTTTAACTGAACGTTTGATAAAGTCCACACTGAATAGATACACACAAAAGATACATTTAACCTGTAAGGTCAACAAAACTGTTTGTAGGCAATGACAATCAAGAACTGAACAGATGAGTGGGTGGTCTCTTTTTCATTTCTGTTTTTGTGAAATATATCAGCTGCCCAGATGTCATAATATAAAAGACTATTACACTTAAACACTTGATGGGGCAAACATGTAAGTTTGCAGTCAGTGTAATAAAATAAGACAACAGGGCTCTTCTGGATCAATTTCTTTATCGCTTTTTGTTAAGAGAGTATGGTTTTACGCCACTTTTAGCAATATTCCAGCAATTTCCCTGTGGGGGACACCAGAAATGGGCTTTACACTATGTACCCATGTCGGGAATCTGAAATACATCTTTTACATGCAGTAATAAGAATGTTTTTGTTTTTCTTAAAAACACGCTAGGGGTCTATATGATTTATGAGTCTATAGTAACTTAGTGGTGTAACGATGTGGATACAGTATCGATCGCGATACGAAGACCACGATACAAGACATCAATTTAAAGCCCTCTATCGCAATACAAAAGATACAATACATTCACATTATTTTGGTGTAAAATCATGTGAATAATAACAGAAACTGCAGTATTTCCCTTTACATGGCATTTTATCACCCGAAACTCCTAGAACTGTCAAACTTTTAAGTTACAACAAGTGATTATTAGTTGACTATTACTTGGTTGGATGTGTGACAATAACTATATACTTACAGGAAAGATAATTATTTCTTACTGTACAGAATTGTAATATAAGTCACTCAAGCAAAATATGAAAATAAGTCCATAAAAAATTGTGATGGATGGCACCTCTGCATCTGCAAACCAATTTATCTAAACGATACTGTCTTTTCATAACAGGAAAGGAAAGCTTCATGCGATGGACCTGGCACTGATGCAAACAGAGACTACCTGACTTCCTTAGCCCTACAGTATCTGAACAAGTTGAAGCTAATTCAATTATTATGAACATCAACATCAGCAGAAATAGCTTTTTGTCCTGAGAATTTGAATCATGCCAAAGTTTTCTGACGGAGGATTGACTTGTTCAATTACTGGAGTTGGTAAATAATCTACAACACTCAGTAAAATCAGATCTTTTACTCCAATATAGTGTGAACAGTTCTGGCATCACCTTCCAAGGAGGTCGTGCCTGGTGAATATTTATCAGCCAATCAGCATCAAGGCTTGAAAATTCTCGGTACGACTGAGGGAATCATTCAGACAAACATACATCATTTCTGTATTTGAGAAAAAGAATATAACTGAGGAGTTCCGAATGCAAAAAACAAAAGCCAGGCTATAATAGCATTGAGGATATTTTCTACATCCTGTCATTTCTGTCATATTGAGAGTATATTTGTGTTCTGTGCCGGTTTTCTTTGCTGAGATCAAAATTTCAAAATTGTGGTGGTAAAGAAATAAAGCGGTATCGTTTTAGAAAGCTGACATCTGACTGGCTCATCCTTCATTTACACTGGGCGGTCAAATAGAAGTCAGGATTTACTGCATGCAAGCCCCCTTGAAGGTGTCCTCAGGTCTCCATGCAGAGAGGCATCACATGAAAGCAAACAATCTGATTTTAAAGAGATTGATAATCTACCAGTAGTCTCAAATAGGCAACCATTAAAGGGGAAGTGTACACGCAAAAATCACTTTCTTTCTTTTTCTAAACAAAACGCAATTTTAGAATTAATTAGTATCTGTGTTTGAAAATATACACTCTTTTTTTTTCACAGTGAACGTAGGAAGCTCACAATAGTGTGAAAATGATATGCCGTTATGAGGCCTTCGTTTTTCGAGCTAAACAGGCCTGAGTTATCCCCCTTAGATTATGACGTAATTGGTGCCAATTCAACTGGGTCCCTGTCTATTCTCAACGCAAAAGATATCAAGTACCAGTTTGCGGTAAAACAACCTGGCCTACGACACACTCCGGCGCAGTGGTGACTCAGCATAACACTATGCTGGCTGGCATCTGAGACGTTAGAATCACACACCTGGACCTACACCACGTGAAACGGCTCTAACAAAGCATGATGACGTCATAATGTTTATCAATTGGCACCAATGACGTCATATTGCAAGGGGCATAAGCCATGGTGTTTTTGTTGTGGAAATAGAACACATGGTAAATGTGAAAAATATAAATCGTTTTAATGCGAAAAATATGTTAATTAATTGTGATATTTTTATATTTTTGTCTATGACACTTCTATGTTAACACTTTTAATGTGGAAAAAGTACAAGAAAAATAGGTTCATTTCCGTGTGAACTTGCCCTTTAACTGACAGCATACACAACAATATTTGATGTCAAACAGGTCACATGGTGTACCCACCCGATCCTCAAGTTAGCTGTGTCTCTTGTACAGGATGAATTGGTTTTGTCTTTAACAATACTGTAAGTAAATGGAATAGAAAAAAAACTGATTGGGCTGATTGGAATGTTTGATACAAATCTGCAGGGATGTAGTACAGTTGTAAGAATGATTCATACACATACAACTCTATTGCCATCTGTTTTATATACAAATTGAAAAATCTGAAAACAATACGCAAACTTAATATATTGAATTTCAGTTTGCAGACATCATACTGCAAACCAACTGTTAATACTCCACGGGTTTGTATACACTGCATTCCTTCATCACCCATGTATAGATGCAGCCTTTAGTGAAGTGACACATAGCTATTTATAGAAGGGCTGGGATTGGTAATTCGGGTCGGGTGGTCCTGAGTAGGACCCGGGTACCCACATGACTACCAAGACCCGTGGTTAGTCACGTGATATACTGTTTATTGACAATAACAATAAAATTCCATGGTTACACTACAAGTATAGCTAATGTTCACATTTCTGACTATGCAAGCATTCATTCTGACCTTTTGTAAGGATAAGGTGTTAATCAACTTCAGTGTATGGATGATCAGATCGTTTTATACAATGTAGGGTGAAACTATTACCATTCAGACATTTTGTACCCAACTCTTGAGACCTATAGTGGGTGCCCAAGTAGGGTAGGGTAATACGGTGTCTGGTATGCCGGGTAATAAATTTGGACTTGTCCCAGCCCTAATTTATAGTATGCTAATGAAGTGAGGCCTCACAGAACTCACAGAAGTCAAATGAGCCTACTCCATGTATGAATCTTGTGTGAACCCTACCACTGCCAGATATTGAAACAATGTAACGAGTAGATGGACAAAAGTCCTATTCATATGTAATATGAATGCTCACTGGTCAGAACACTCACTGGAATCAGGAATCAGTTTGACTCAGTGGTTAAAAATAGTGACTACACCGCCCAGTGACCGTATGTATTCATGGGTGATGGAGGTGTCTGCAAACCTGTGAAGTATTGCCGATGAATAAAACCCTTGTAGTGAAACCTCCTCTCATTCCTGCTAAAGTGAGCTTGTTGCACTCAAACACTGACCGGTGACAGCAGTTTCATGTCAGGCATAGAATAAATAGTGAAAACACAGATATTGGATATATACATTATAAAACAATCAGACACCACATATGTGCCCCATATATGTGGTGTTTGTTTTTATACAAGTCACATTATTTGTTGATTCAAATGTTCATGTTGTTATTGCCAGCCATGTTGAATTGTTTTCCTTCCTCTTCAAAAATCTTCGTTGTGGCAGACACTCATTAATTTGTGAACGATACACTTTTTCATGATACACAATGCACTGGTGAGGGATTGGCAGTATAAGGACTATTTAGTCATCAAAGGAACTGACTGTCTACTGACGTTTAGAAAATCCAATTCCATTGAGCTAACAACGGATTCAAAACTTACCATAGTCCAAAAAAGTATTTTAACTTTCATTTTATTGTGTATAACAAGTCGTCATGTACATGCATTTTGTATTAGAAGACAACCCCATGAGTGCACTAAGTATCATTACTTTGGTCAATCGTTTCATAAATAACGCCAAACAATAATTTATCCAATGCAGGGATCAGCCACACCCAATCTGGCACCTCAAATAGTCAGCTATATGAGCACCCTTTGGGTAGAATATTTGTCAAAGGTTTGACCTGATCACAACTTGACATCCGCAAGAACATTTTAATTGTAGCACTATCGTCCAGGCCAGCTTGTGGTTGAGGAATGCACCACGGATCAGTGTGTTTTGTCCAATGGATACGGTGGTCCCAGCTGAAGCCATTATCTTAGAGTCACCACAAGTATGATAGTGACAATGATGGCAATGACTAAGAACACCACCAGCAGACAGCACATCTTCTTTCGGGAGGATTTCTGGCAGGGACAAAATACAATGAATTAGTATGGAAAGTAGGCTTTTAAACCACAATTAAGCAACTACAATTTAATTATTTGTTCTATCATGTCTATAGGACAGACCTGTACTTGACAATTTGTACTACAGATCTGCTTGTTGTTTCTAAGCCATCCCTTACCCACCAATGATGAAGTACACATGAATGGCTATATGGGTGAAAAGGCTGACTTTTCCAACTTGAACTATGAGCACGTCCGTCACCCAAGGTACCTTTTTTACCACATGTTTGTACTGTCTTTCTCTAGGCCACACTTTTCTAATTTTATGTTTTACAGATTTATTCCAACTTTTCCACACAAGGTCGGTCAAAATAAAAATAAATGTCAATTATATATCCATCCATCCATCCATTTATCCATCCATTTAATTTATTTATTTATGAAAGTCATCCTGCTGTGGAGTTAAAACTGCAGGTGTCTTCTTGAATCACTGATAATGATATAGACATGGTATTTATACATAACATTTTATATTGTATAAGAGGGTCTATATTACTAGCAGGAGACATAATAAAAAAAAGAATTTTTGTTGGACAAAGAAAACTATCAAGTTTTTCTTCTGAAAGAGTTGAACTATAAATTTTGGAGCATCATGTTGATAAGAGAAGATATTCGTTGTTTCAAGATGGTGTCCATTCTTTCCTCAAGCTCCTTCCCAGCGCATGAAACCTTCATTACACTCTCGGTAACATCTCCAGCAAGAATCTTGAAATTACAAGAATCTTGAAATTTGCCCTCTAGCCCCAAATGTAGCAACGTTTATACTTTTGTTTATGTCTTTGGGAATGTCATCATAGTTCATTTTGAAAAGGTTTACAACTGACCATGTTTTCTAGATGAATTTACTTTGTTGTTTGTATAATCAGATTGGTTCAACATGTTCAAGATTGCAGACGAAAGGAAAATCAATTAACATCTCCCTCACATTCTTACTGTACCAATTACATGATAGTTGGAATGAAATAGAAATTCACATTGACAAACAAAGAAAATATTTAAGCTGGGGTAAGAGTATTCAGCGTCTCGGCAGCCATCACTTGTTTGTAAACACAACGTTCATTCAGTTGCGAGTTCAACTCCAAGCATGGTTGTGAGCTTGTTGTTTTCTGTGCAAAGGGAACTAACTCAATCAACAAAACACAGTCCCATGTACCATACACAAAAAATGTTTTTGTTGTGGAGTCTCCAAACAGGGAATAAGGCTATTGTACTCTTGAGCCATTGTTTAGGCTAAATTCAGGATTTTAAGATAATCTTGATTTGGTTCCATGTATTCCTGAAATTAAAGGGGCACTGATCTAAAGCAATTCCCCAGGACTGGTTGTTGCTTTTGTTATTGTTTTTTCCCGGCGAGTACTCGGATGTATAGCAGAAATCTAGACTAGTTCGCGACCTCTGCTGCGCCATTCGTAAGCGCATTAGTCACTTTTATTGGTAGTAATAAGGGCGTATGGTCACATTGATCAACAAAATGAAATACAGTTGCGAGATAATAAGGAAATGTAGGTATCTTTGTGGGTAGCATCGGTAATGGTGACGAAGTTTTGATAAGTCACTTGCTTGGTAATTTTGCGATTTTCGTTTACACTATTTTGACTTGCAACTCAAAGTAAATATTTCACCTGAGCATTGCTTTTTTTTAAAGTGTGTATATTTTTTGACTGTCAAAATGTGTAACATTTTCAAATTTATTAAACGCCTAAATATTCAGTTATTTTACAAAGTGACTGAAAAACATTTCCATCTGTATTATTATGATAACGAATTCCAAACATTTTGATGTTTAATGTCATCACCAAGAGACTGAAAATGTTACGTTGAAAAGTACATTTCTATGTTGTTTGGCTTCTAATCCTACATAATAATAATCTGTTGTGATGTTTTAGGTCCCTTTGATCGACATTATCAATTTTAGTCAATCTGGACAAATTTTTCACTCAAAATGACTGAAATATTTACACATTTTATAAATTGCCTGAGAGAATCACATTTTACAAATTGACGGTTACACGCTTACAAAGGAAAAGACTTGTGAAAACAACGTCTATCGCGCATTGAAGAATTTCCCAACCAAGACGTAGAGGAACAAGAACGAATCGGTTCAATGCTACAGCAAATGAAGGAAAACAAAATGCAAATACCATTATTACAACCTACCAAATGTGTATAAATTTTAGGCACTCGTCTGCAGCTGTACAAAGAAACTTATTTGATGTCACGTGTCTCAGTAACAATCAAATATTTTAAAAGATATATATCGTTTCGGGATATTATAACCCGTGTTCGTTTCTCAACTGATCACTTAGATTGTTTCAGGTGTTTCACATAGGTGTCAAGTCTCAAGGGTCGGCTGAGAAAGCCAACGTGACAACTATTTTCATAACGTCCACAGTTCCTAAAAATCCATAGCGTTAGATAACAATGAGCAATCAATCAACGTATTATCAGTTAACCCTTTGAACAAAGTATGTTGTTTTTACATCGGCACTTCACGCCATGATATGAGTGTATTCCCTTTGTTTTAGTAAACCTAGACATGTAAACACTCACTTTTGACATATCCACTGTGCAAGATAAGAGTGATTAATCAATCAACGTATTTTCTGTTAATCCTTTGATGCCTAGGAACGATCCGTTGATTTACAAAAAAAGTAAATCAACTGATCATTCACCTCTTGCTGGGCTGCCATGTGCATATTACATAACACACATTTAACCTCACTTCAAACCTGGATTTAGATTGAATAATTACCCCAGACACAATAAATGCCAAATGGGAACCTTTGTCAGGTAATCTAAGTGGTGCTACCACTAATTGTAGCTGTAATAAATTCATTAGCTGAGCATCAAGTGAATGACAACAAATACACAAGTGCAAGGTTATACCAGAAAACGTGGATGACAACAAGGGAGAAGGAATCGTATTATCGACGCAATCCGCAATTCACTGCATGGATACTTTTTTTGTATTATTAAACTATAACCAAACGAAATCTTTATAGATCACAGTTAACCAATCAGTGTTAAAAAATGCGTAAAACAAATATTGCCTCCAGCCTCCAAGTTTATTTAGCTGTTCTTGCAGACGGTAGACCAGTCTCTGGTCACGCTCTGTTGCGTTGCTTATCATCCGGGTACTCACGGGGAAAAAACAATAACAAAGGCAACAACCTGTCCGGGGAATTGCGTTAGATCAGTGCCCCTTTAAGATAGATGGTCAACTGTAGTACCAGCACCTACCTGATACTGTGACGCCTTCACCAGCTGCTCATTGCCCGTCTCAACATTACCATACGCCTTCTCTACATTAGCCTCTATTGTGTCTGAAGAGAAAGTCGTGAAAGGAACTTGCTAAAAATATTTAAAAGAATGTTACATCACCAACATTAAAGCCATATCTTAAGCACTGGCCAAATGGTTGGTAGTGCAAGCATCTAGAAACTATAATATGGTTTCAAAAAAAAATAATAGCCTTGGTTCTCAGGCACCACCCGCATCATCATAAAGTACGGCACATTCTACTTCCAGTTTTAAAAAAAAATCCTAATACCTAAAAACAATGCGATCTAATATAGCACATAGCACACAGTTACTTCCTCTTACATGGGAACTTTTTGGTCATGGCATCAATAGCAGTTTTTATGCTTGGTTATGTAGGTATGCCCTTTCCCAGGTTGATGGTACACAACTATTTATTTGGTTTCATACTAGTTTGAACAAGCAAAAAAAAACAAAAAAAACACCGCCAACCCGCACTATATTTTCAAAAGTCGTTGCCTGAGAATCAATTCTTATATTTTTTTAAGCCTAGAAGACAATATGTGTGACAGATGCCAGAAGAGTTTAGCAAAGCCGGATTAGAGTTACCATTAGCGTATGATGCAAACACAATCAGTCTCAGCTAGTTGTTGTCCATCTAATACCTAGTCACAGGTGCACCAATTGTTGTCATCCAATCCCCATGTTGTAATAACAGTCCATAGGTGCAGATGAGTTCATGCACAAAGAAGAAAGTACACCCTCATGAAAATCAGATCTATTACTCAAGAACTGATACCTCTCCTCTCAACATCAAGATCTGACAAACCATCCGTAGGAGGCCACATCAGGTGAGGTCTCTCATCAGAGTGTGGAAGCCTCTACATTCTTGGTACATCCATCTGATTCTTTAACATTTGTCTTTTGTTGGATTTTTTTTCTTTAGACCAAAATTTCTGAATCAAACACAGAAGGGGGTAGAGAAATGAAACCAGATAATTATAGATAACTGACATCTGATTGGCTCAGGAACCCATTAGAGGTGTAACGATACAGTGGGACTGTGATACTTATCCCGTTACTAAGGTTGCGATACGATTCGTATCCCAATACATAACTTATCAGGAAAATAAGTTGACATTCTTTCTACTTGCAGGTGAATCACACCTCTGTATTATTTGTTTTTAAATTTCAGAGAGTCGAAGATGGGCAGAAACATACAGGCTTGAGGCAATGTGAATGTTATGCTATTTATAGCCAACCAGGAAATACCAGGGAATCTGTGTAAGCTGGTTTCTGTTATTATTTGTCAGCTCTTCATGCAGAGATCAATCTCATTAAAATCATATCTTAGTTCTTGCTACTGCTAAACAAAGATCTGAGGACATCCATTGCGGGTAATGTCAGAACGACCTTTCATCTGACCAATCAGAGCATCGCTTATCAGATCATGAAAGTGACAGTTGGAATGTGATGTTCGATCGTGCAACCTCGAGAAAACGCACACAGGGTATTCCGAATGACAGTTATGGGCTTTATGTCTGTATTCATACAATCTAAACCATCTATTAGCCATTCCAGAGTGTTCTTTTGCTTAGTTTTTAAATTTTTTATCGAGTACATGTACAAATATGTTTCGAAGCGTAACTGCCAGTTTGAAACTCATGCCATAAAGCTCAATTAAGCTGCCTCCTGACTGGCTGTTGACGACTTCTTGTTAGTCATTCCATTGGTTGGTTAAAGTTTGCGAAAGGTCAGTCTGACGTAACCCGTAATTGGATGTCCTCAGATCTTTGTTTAGCGGTAGCGAGAACTAAGATCTGATTTTAATGAGCTTGTGCAGAGATCTATCAATCAATGTGAAACATAGGATTTGAATGAGGTTGAAGGAAACTGCTGCAATGCAGCAACCACCCAACCTCATCTAAACAGGTCTCTCTGTACTCACCAAGCGTTTCTCCCTGCTCCTGTATCATTGCACCAAGGTCTCGGAATATCTCATTCACATCAAGGATGTCAGACTGGAATGAAAAGTTGAATTCTCATCACATAAATTTCAGTCTCAAACGTTAAAGTTAGTTAGATCCACTTAGCACCATCAGTTGCTTTAATGAGTTATATCCCTTCTATGTCCCTCCTGTTGCCCAATCAGATTCCACCTCTCATATCATTTGCATTTGCTTCAAACAAAATGGTGGAGGCCAGTCAAGACAATCTGGGTGCTGTTGTAAAAAGCAATTGTAGTGCTAAGGCGATCGTAACTCCCATACCTTAACATACACTTATGACAGTCATAGTGTTAAAGTTGTCTTGTACAACGGCACCCTGATCGATATAATAATCAAGACAGAAATTTCATAAAACCTACCTCGCAAAGTACATCAAATCACTTGAGCATGTTAATTAAAATCATGAAAAGATTTGGAAAATATCTGTTGATGCCCACTGTACCCCCCGTACCTAAATTCAACAGAGAAAAAAACCCACCTCCATTGTAAAATGCATTTGAGTATTGGATGCAGTAAAAAACTACATCATATCTGGAATAAATTAACACTATGATAACATGATATGATCACCTTTGATGTTGAGATGTCGGATGATGAATTGCAAGACAAGTGTGGTGGTTGATCAGTAAGTGGGACACAGTAGTGTGTATTTTGCACTGTTTGTAACTGACATTCACTGTCTGGATCAGGACACTGCATTTCCGGATCAATGAAGTATTTTATGATACATTTTGTTTCTAAATAATGTCTGGTAGGCAAGGTTTCCAGATATCTGGGTTTCGGATAAGCAGGGCTCCACTGTACTAAGCTTTCCAATCAATGACAACCCAACATGCCCAAGTGAGCTTGTTGAGTGACCTGACAAAGTTGACATTTTCATGAATATAACATCAGAGCTACAGATAAGCTGTGTATTTGCATAAAATACCCCCCAAAATTATTCAAAACCCCAATTACTCTCAAATAACTTGTGCACAGAAATGCATGCATTAAATGAAAAACTCAAAATTAAAAAAAAACAGCACTCGTAATACCCAATGAAGCTTTTTTAGCATGCATACAAATGAGCTAATTTCCAAAACACAATTACGAGGTAATTTACTTTTCAAGTCAAGCCTATATATACATTTAAAACATTTCTTTCTTTTTTTAAATGTCAAAATGTTTACTCATTTGAGGAAACAACCCAATAGAGTGATGGATAGATGAGTGAAAAAATATTGGTTACCCAATGAAAAATGTAATAACCCATATAAAATAGAAACCTTTGATTAAAAACTCAATTGCTCAAAAAGTTATCTGGAGCTCTGTAAAATGTTTCACTTCTCATATATTTCCTTACTCATTGTAGTCATTATTGAAGCAGAGCTCAAATGCTGAAAGTAGTTCCGGCATCAAGTGTAATATACCTGAAAATACTGATATCAGCGCTAATGATACAAACTCCCTACACCTACCTCAAGCTGTCGAATCCTCTCCTCCCTCTCCCTGATGAGGGCCAGGTCATCCTCGATGACCACCTGTTGTTCCTGTAGCTGTGCCCGTCTGTCATCCTGTATTAGCTGACTTGTGTCTGCCGTACCATCATCCTGAACAAAGCTACTCTGTTAAAACCACCCAGCTTCTGCACAACAAATATCCAAACAGGTAATTTGTGTCACCAAATACTAATTGAGTGAGTGAGTGAGTGAGTGAGTGAGTGAGTGAGTGAGTGAGTGAGTGAGTGAGTGAGTGAGTATGGGACAAAAACTCAATTTTTTTCGAACTAAGTCTTGATAGGCATCTCATAGATAAGGTTGTAAACTTTAATTCTTTTAACTTAAGTAGTTTCTGAGAAAACTTGCCCCCATTTCACTCAGTACACACTATGTTGAAAAGTATGGAGCAAGGGCCTTTACTAAATATACAATTTAAGACACCAACTTGAGATGGTGACCACTAACATCGGTTCGTAAAAATTCATTTCTCTAACTTAAATAGTTTTTGAGAATATATTTCCCCATTCAGAGGTGGATGGACTGCCGAATGCCACTTTGTGGCAGGGGATAATAAACAGAGGTTATGGTATATGATAGAAAGGTTACAGGGCTGATATGGGGGTCGAGGGTTCATATGGGGTAGGATATGAAAACTGTGATAATAACCTTTTTATCATATACCATAACATAAAATTGTAAAATGTATCTATTTACAAGTGAATGCAAAATATTTTCACCTTGTTTGGAAGTTTTTGTCACGGGAAAGCTAGGTGAGCAGATGAGCAGGCGATGTACAAAGGGACGTAGCTCTAATTTCTTACCACCCGGGCTGATATCGGTCGCCCATTCAAACTGCATTGACAAGCCATATCAGCACAGCAGGGGGTGTAATACCCAATCTCATTAAAATCAGATCTTAGTTCTTGCTTCCTCTAAACAAAGATCTGAGGACATCCAATTACGGGTCACGTCAGAACGACCTTTCGCGAACTTTGACCGACCACTGAAATGACTAACAAAAAGTCAATATCAGCCAATGAGAAAGTAGCTTTCTCGAGCTTTACGGCACTCGTTTCAACCTGGTGACTTCCATTTCAGACTACGCTTATAAAAATAGGTTGACACTGTTCTCGATTATAATTTTGCAAACTGAACAAACGAACATTCCGGAATGTCTAATATATTGTTGCAATTGTATGGACGTACTCTGCAACGCCTCCTCCGTTTATCCCACGGAAGCGAGATAAAGACGATAATTTTGACGGAATCATTCGTACGGGCTGTAACTATCGTTCGGAATACTCTGTTTTAATGTTTTCGAGATTGCATGATTAGAAAATAATTCCGACTATCATGTTCATGATCTGGTAAGCGACACTTTGATTGGTGGGATGAAAGGTCGTTCTGATGTGACCTGTAATGGGATGTCCTCAGATCTTTGTTTAGTGATAGCCGTAACTAAGGTATGATTTTAATGAGATTGGTGTAATACAGGTCTGGTTATTACACCCCCTGTGATATGCCTCATATCATTGATAGGTATATGATATGAAAGCTAGACCAGGTCAACCAGTGGCTGACTGAGCAATCCAGGCTATCAAGACACAATGACACAAAAGCAGTCAGGCCAAGCCCAATACCTATTTGTCACCTCTTTCCACAAGGATAGCATACAGGAGACAGTGACTCTACATCCCCCTGGGTACAATGTAGCAAGCTTCACACCTCACCTGATAGGGGGATACATCCACCAATGGCTTCTTGGAGGAACCTTTGGGACTCATAATCACAGTTGTTTTCACCTTCTCAGCTGCTTTCTGAAAACCCAAAGTACAATTTCATTACAGAACAATCTATGTATTCCTTTCTGGTGTGTCAAAACAAAATTGAGGAGTGTTACAGTGGTTGGTAGTATTTGTTATCAAACACCAAACACACAGAAATGAACGTTCTGCCCTTGTATTTCTTTACTAAGGTCTGTCTTCAGGATGTGCCATTGAAATGTATGTGTAAAAGTAAAAGTATTGTCAACCTTCGTAACCATTGTATAATGCTTGATGGAAACCATCAAATCTTTGAGGGATAGAACAAAATCAGTGATAAGAAATGGAAAGTAGCTACTAGACTAGAACAGGGTCGTTATACCACTGCTAGACAATGATGAATACTGTAGGTGTCCCATGCTAAGTACAGTATTCAGGATACACACTGGCCAACAGACCTACCCTCTGTAGAGACTGGTATCTCTGCACTGCTTCCTGGAAGTCATTCCGCAGACGATCGAGTTGGAGCTTCTGTTGCTGGAATCAAATCGATTGAAGTAAGTGACTGCTGCTTGGGGACAGATCATTTGATATTTTTTTATTTAAAACTAGCAGCCTGAATTGTTTTAAAGAAAATTGTCTTACAAGAATGTCATTTTTGTGGCAGGCAACTTCTTTTTTTGTCAACAGTCTGAAGCATAATTATTTTTTACAAAAATTATTGGTAACAATGGTTACTTTTTTCAATAAATCCTACAATGCTGCAGTCAATGATACTACATCATTGAGGCCTGTAAACAGGAAGGAAGACCCAGACAAGGCAACCAGTGAAAGTGAAAGTGAACCAGTGAAAGCATAAGTAAAGATTGGTGAGAAAGTGAGTGAAGACTGAAGAGCATGGGCCCACTTGCACAAAGTGATCTTAGCGCTATGATGAACGTAACTCCCATACTTTAACATAGGCTTACAATAGTCATAGCGCTAAGATCACTTTGTGCAAGTGGGCCCATGCTCTTCAGTCTCCAGAGAACCTATTCTTCCCTGGTTTCCCAATCAATTTAAAAAAAAAAAATTATTTTCAATTCAGTAGACATATATCTGTAACATAGGTACATGAGGTATATAAGTGTAGCAATTCATAGGATCTTAAAACATGATCAAGATATGGGCAATATGAATATCATATGTAAGTTTCGAGTTTAGGTATGCTTCAATTTCTATCCAAAATTCCTTTACAAAAACGAATTCTACATATACATGATATAAATGGATTCCCAATGAAGTTGGTAGAATGAAAAAAACAGGTCAACTGAAACAAAGTTATAATGTCTAAAAGGTGAGGTGAGGTGAAATTGGGTTTAACGTCGCGTCCAAGATTATTGCACTTATATAGCAATGTCTAAAAGGAAACAAGCTGATTAGGCTGTTTGCTGCAAAATTTCACAACATTGTTTAATTTCTGCCATGAGTTTCAAAAGCATAACATTGTTTTAATTAAATCATGAATTTCCAGTGTCCAACCCAGAATTGAAAATCAAGGGGGGACTTGTCCCCCCATCATGTAGAAAATAGGAGGGATTTTGAAAAAGTAGGTGGGATAATTGCTTTCTTCAAAAATGTCTTATTTTGTATTATGTACTGGAACATCATCATATAAAAGTGTAACAGATCAGAATAAAGAACTGAAATGAATAACAATGCTTTGTGCTTTTTTCTATTTGGATTAAAAAAATCTGTAATTTCTTTTGTTCTTGCGCGACATGGTAATTCACTATTCAAAAGATTGTCTGCTATGACAGTCGGCGATTCATATTGTGTGATTTCAGAAATGAAACTAAAACGAACTAAAATGCTCAAATATATTTTCAGAACTATTCAAGATAGAATATTTATTGTCTTTAAACATCTTGTCAAAGGTTTTTGATTACTAAACAACAAAATACAACATAATTTTGATCAAAGTTTTGATATGTTTTCTACTAAAGTAAATCAAATTTGGTTTCCTATGCCAATCCTATCGATAATTTATTCAGCAACCCAAGGGACGTCACTCGTGTTCGAACTTCCGGTTGTTATCAATCGGTCTTCGACAGCTGTTTACAACGTTTGCTGTGAACTTTCTTTCTTCGTTAATTGATTAAAGATTTAGTGAGTATTGAATATAAAGGTAGGTATAAACAGCTGATAAAGTAAGTGAATGTACAAGAAATTACCTGTGCGCGACAGATCGAGCTTTGATTTTTTTATGAGGGGCGATTTGATTTTTTTTAGCGTGAATCGCACAATCAGGCGGCCTGGGTTGGACACTGAATTTCTACATGTCTAAAAACAATCAAACATGATTACTACAACAGTTTTTCTATGATAAGGAGATCACTTCCAATATAATTTGTCCTGAAAGCTTGGCAATCTCATGCATACATGGAATGTTTGTTCACACCTGATAAGGAGGCACAGGGGGCCCAGTGCACTCCAGAAACCTATGATTGTGGGTTTGAATCCCAATTCACCCCAATTATGTTTCTAGGTTGGTTATCACCGTACCTGTGCTTGTGGGTTTCACCAAAGTGGTTAATGTCTGAGACCTGCATCACTTGGGGTTTTCCTCCAACATAAGCTGACACACACTGATATATATAACTGGAATACTGTTAAAGTGGTGTTAAACCAAACTCACTCAATCACACCTGATAAACATGAAACACTTGAGCCATTATGAGTACAAGTTACCTAGCAGGGACTGTTGAATTCTCTCTGAGTAGAAGCAGAGCTTCTTGCTTTTGCCCATGAATGCAACATGCTACATCAAATCAGGGGATACCAAGTGAGTGAGTGAGTTTGGTTTTACTCTGCTTTTAGCAATATTCCAGCAATATCACGGCGGGGAACACAAGAAATGGGCTTCACATATTGTACCCAAGTTGGGATTCGAACCCGGGTCATCGTTGTGATGATCGAATGCTTTAACCACTTGGCTACCCGACCGCCCCAGGGGATACCAAGAATACGCAGCATACTTATGGGAATTCAAATCGTGAGCAAGCCTTTGGTACATAATCATAGTAAGTGCACATTCCACTGTCCCTGTTTTCTAACCTTGTTTATTCTCTTGCTTCCAGCTGATTTAATCAGTCTCATGGTCGTCTGAACCAGCTGGTGTGTGCTCTGTGATGTTTCATGGCTACAAGAAAGCATAGCAACATTAGGAACCGGTCATTTACTATGGGGAGGGTAGTGCTTCGCATTTTGACTTTTCAGGGAGGGCCATGTATAAAATGTACAAGGGCATGGGGAGGGTATTCAAAAAATATGACATTTCTTATTTGTTTGTTTGTTGTTTAATGTCGCACTCAGCAATATTTCAGCTATATGACGGCAGTCTGAAAAATAATCGAGTCTGAAACAGACAATCCAGTGACTGGCATCATGAGCATCGATCCACGCAATTGGGATACGATGACATGCATCAACCAAGTCAGCAAGCCTGACCACCCGATCCCGTTAGACGCCTCTTAGGACAAGCATAGATTCCTTTGATAGCAAGCATGGGTTGCTGAAGACCTATTCTACCCTGGATCTTCACGGGTAAAAAAATATGACAAACATTAGGGGAGGGTCATTATTTTGTGTACATTTGTGCATCAAAAAGCTCTAATCCACCCACCCCTATAATAAATTACTAGTCTCTTAGCGTGACGTATTTGATAGTCTTGCTATATATACAGTACTACCTTATGAAGTTCCATTTATGTACTCAATATCAAATCAGTGCCAGTAGTTAAATCTTAGATTTTGTATATGCTACACTTTTATAGATAACCTAAAAAAAGTTGAACCAATTCATAGGAAATATTTGACATGAAGGGAGACAACTTATGAACTTACTCCTACCAGAGTGAGCATGGTGAGCAGCGGTAGAAACTAGCAGTTTCAGTCCACTTGTCCTTATAATGATAACATATAGTAAGACCCTCAAAAAGGGCAAATGTCTACTAGTCCTTATGATAACTTAACTATTGGGCAGTTTGGCAAGGACTGCAGGACCAGTGCCAATTTCTAACGCTGGTGAGTGGTTTGGGTTTTAATCATAGTATGGAAGTTCATATTTTTTTAGAAAGGCCCAAAGTGATGCAGGTTGTAAGGCTCTACATCTACAACTTTCATGGAACCAATGAGCATTGAAATCAGGAAGAAATCTCTGAATCAAAGCCACAACCCGCAGGTCCTTGGTTTCAAGGCAAAGAACTCCTCATGATGAGATTTTGTTAGTTGTGGCCTCCTAGATACTAAATCATCTGAGGCCCCTTGAGATTTAAAGCACCAGACACATCAAACTCATCATCATGATCATAGCTGGAGCTGTGAAGATCATTTTCTCAAAGCAGTATTTCATCAAAGATAGTCCATAATCCGCTTCAAATACACTTACATTTTATCTCTGAGCTGGACGCTGTCTCTTTCTGAACCTATACTTTTCATGGCTCGGTCAACAACATTTGCTAAAAGAAACAATCAAGATAATATTCATATGTTCTCTTTTCAAATACAACAACAATATCTGTAAACAATATTCTCATTTTATACAATGAAACAATTTATTCTTTTACTCTTACATTGATAATAAATTGTTTTCTTACCATGCATCGCTTATGTTAATAAAACGCCTTTTGACTTACCTCCATTGTTGATTTTGAAGACATTAGTTCTGATTTTATCAAAGACCTCGTCAGCAGAAAATGCTCCTGGAAGACAAATATATCTTTGACATTGATACTAGACAAAAGATAATACCATATGAAACACAATGATCGTAATACAAAAAGTGTCAACACCAATGTTTCATAATATTTACCATGTTTACATCATAAGAGCCAGAATAAACCATTATAAACTGAGACGCCTACTGTCAGCAGTCTACTTCGGCTGGACCAGGTATAGTGAGTATGGTTTTATGCCCCTTTTAGCAATATTCCAGCAATATCATGGCCGGGGACACCAAAATTGCCTTCGGATTGACAAGCAAATGCTTTAACCACAAGGCTACCCCACCCGCCCAGACCATGTTTAGGCACAGGAAATTATCTACATTTACTAAGTAGCACTTCCGCTATACTTGTCATAGCAGGCAAATTGGGAAATAAACATCATCATGATCAGTTTGGGCCATTTTGGAAATCCTGCATCATGTGCATATTCATTCCACATTGCATTCAATTTAATTCCAATTTGGGAATTTTTATAGACACTTGACTTGCTGCTGACCTGGTGTCCATTATCAGCGTTGATTATTCCTATTACACCTATTATGCCCATAACTGTGGTATTGAGCGAGTTTGACCAGCTCAAGCTGTAGGTTTAAATGTACACTCCAGTCTGGGTTATTTCATCAGACACGTTAGGGGTTTAATGACTTATTTTAATGTTATATAGGTCTGTTTGACATGATTGTACCTTACTTGGATGTGTTCCTCGTGTCCTGAGTTACACAAGGGGTAGAACTCAACACAAGCCCACTAGCCTGGGGCTAGTACAAATTCCTGCGGTATTGTACAAATTTCCAAATTTTTTCCATTGTTTTAACAAAACAAGGGCATTCTATCTTTACCCAGCTGATAAAGCTTTGGAGTTTAGTTCTAACCCTGTTTCACTTGCTCGATCTTCATTGAGATTCTTGCTGCACATTGTTGCACCTTGCACAGAAATATTTCTTGTGCACTTACCACTTCCTGGGTCATCTCTGTAGTCACTGAAACCAGGATCATCCCGGTAACCAGAAACAGCCCCATACCTTCCTCCAGACATTGTGGAAGAGTAGTTTTACTAAAACAAAAAAAACATTTCAATTTGATAATTAAACATGTATGTGTTAACAATGACTGTGTGCGAGATACGCTACAGTGTAATTTTTATTACATGCGGAAAGCGCACGTAAAATCTCCCAGTTACCTACCTACCGTTAACAATGAACCTATCAATGCAGAGTTCTTACACATATATGATAATACACATATATGATAATATCCATTATCTTGCTGTAATGGGAATGTAAGTATTTGCAAAAACAAAAGTAACCTCTTCACTGCCATTTCCCCAAAGCAGAGATCATAAATATAGAATACTAAATGAGCTCCCGTGTCATACCAATTCAGTGAAACTCGTGAATAGTTCTGGTATCTGATACCATAACTTATTCACAAGTTTCATAAAATTGGTTTGACAGGGCCGAGCTTCTTTTAGCATTTTATTTATTGCCGTTTCCCAAAAAATTAAAAAATTCACTATCGTGTATGAATAGACAGACATCTACATGATCTATGCGATCCACAGCATAATCTATTTGAGTATACATAACAAAATAATATTTCAAAAACGTTAAAGTTGACGTATGATTTAATGCCATACAACAGCCTACCTTTAGAATTCAGGCGTCCGTTCCACTAGGCTATCGTGGCGTCAAGGTTATCATTACTCCTACAACAGACTTAGGACTGCCGTTGCGCTATGATCGCTTTGTGGAACGGGACTCTACCATAAAGTTTACAAAGGCTGTTTTGTGTGTAATGTGTTGACACACCACTGAACATTGCACTTAAGTAGATATATATTAAGTACAGTAGAACTCCTACCTGTAGCAGAATATACGTCAGATATATGGCGTTGTTTCGTATGTGGCCGTATGTCTAGCCTCTTCACTGATTCATGATATCGACGCTATGAGTCAAAATAATAATAGTTCAAAGACTCTAACCACCACTCACATGATCAACTTTCCATATGATTACCTCCCCTATTTTACTTCCGGTGTAGTAATTTATCGACCGAGTCATATAATCATCAATATAGGCCCCATCTTGACCTTTAGAATAGAAATATACAGTGGTTTAGATATATTCAGACATATTTTGTTGCAAAGAACATTTTATCTTCTGAAACAAATATCTAATTTTTTAGAACTATCCTCTTACAGTGTTATTGAGTAAATCGGCGGATGTTGTCTCATTTTGACACTTGTTGATATCAAGAAGTAAGGTACACATCTTTCTCAGGTAACTTTCATATTTGTTTTTGATAAAAGATATATTTTAATGTAAAAAAGGTAAAATAGAAATAGATTGCATAGGACCGACTTAGGTTGTAACGTTTGTCCAGATGTCGATGACCAGAAGATCAGCATGATCAATGCCGCTGTCTCAGTGCCTGCTAACACTGCTGATGATGATGTGGTGATATTGTGATGCTGAGTCAGTGAAAGTGGGTCTCTAGCCTCCGTGGTCACTGGGGATTTTATATGCCTCGCTTTTCGTTCGGCGTATATATTATATAGGCATAGACGTTTATAGATGTATTTGTACCATTGTCTGTCTCTCAGCGAATTCGACTAGTCCTTATAATAATAACCCGTAGCAAAACCCTTACAGATAGCAAATTTCGACGAGTCCTTACGATACCTTAACTATTGGGCAGATTGGCAAGGACTATAGGACTAGTGCCATTCTCTTTCAGATTAAATCCTCCTTGGGGCACTTATTGCATTTTCCTTGCTCAAGAAAATCTACATGACATCGTTGTAACCATTTTCCTTAATAAAAAATGTTACCACACAAAAAACTTCGTTTTTGTATGATATACGACCACCCTTACGGGGCCTCACCCCCCACGGCGCCTCACACCAGGGAGACAACTCTCACCCAAATCACTTTCCTTATGTCATCTGTAAGAGACAGACGTGCTGATTTTTCACACAAGACAAAATAAAGAGAATCTATCGTTCGACAAGATTCATGGCTGACCAAACTGTATGTATGGTACATTTCTTTCATTGCAAAGGCGTAATACCTCGCATTGTAAAGTTATAGAGTTGTAATTATACACCACGTGCACGGAATTCAAATGGCCGTAATGGCGTCCATATTGTAGTTCCAAGGGCTGATACATGTAACACCAAGGCCATTAGAAACCGCTTGGGGTTTTGTTATATCATACAGCATTGGTCTACAATTTTTTCCTTCACAAAAACCAAAGGTGGTGTGTTAATTTATAAACTACACTTACCTTTTTTACGGGTTTTACACCTTAGCGCGTAACACGCCCCTTTGGTGTTATAATTATACTACGACATTGGCTATTAGTATCGCGTTACAAATCGCATTCTACATTACGCCTTTGCTTCTAGTTTCACAATTTATGCACATATCTTTCCGATGTTTATATCGCACTGATACACTTTAATACCCTTCCCGCCCACCTCAGAAATTACGGTCTTTTTTACAAAGACCTTCAAACTGTGTACGGGTTGTTCTAAGACAGGCACGAACGCTGCCTAAAATGTCTGGCGGAGGACGGGTATGACAATGGGTCATGCCCGATATGCATTGCCTTTACCCCCCAGGCCCCAAAAAAGAGACAAGTTGACTTGCTCCACTTTAAGGTCTATTCAAGGCGGTGGTAGATATCAGATCTGCTAAGACGTCCCCCACCCCCCCTTCCCCATCTAAAAGGGTAAAAAAGCTGCCGAGACTGTCTTCCCCGCTCCCTCTCTGGGCACTGCACCCTCTCCTGCACTGTCTTTGGCAGACTTTTCTGCGTTACTTAAGTCGCAGATGGTGTCGATGATGGAGGAGGTGAAGTCTCTGCTCCGGCAGGAGCTACGGGCTGAGCCTTCCCCGTTGTCGGCGCCGGACGCGGCTTAGAGACCTTGTGTTATGCCCGGCGTCAGTCAAGGCAGACCACTTGGTCTCGGGGACGATCCGAGACCTGGCTTCGGCTCCGGCTCGAGGTCGCTCCCCAGCGCAGGGGTGGCGGGTGCCAGCCCGTGCACTACTGACGCACAATTTTCCCTAGCGGAGCCAGATGCCTCTTCCGAGGCCGAGGATTCCACTAGTGGATACCTAGCCCGGAGCCAGGTGGGTTCCCTTGGTCTCGGGGACGATCCGAGACCGAGCTTCGGCTCCAGCTCGAGGTCGCTCCACAGCGCAGGGGTGGCGGGCGCCGGCCCGTGCACTACCGACTCACAATTTTCCCTAGCGGAGCCAGACGCCTCTTCCGAGGCCGAGGCTTCCACTAGTGGATACCTAGCCCGGAGCCAGGTGGGTTCCCTTGGTCTCGGGGACGATCCGAGACCGAGCTTCGGCTCCAGCTCGAGATCGCTCCCCAGCGCAGAGGTGGCAGGCACCGGCCCGTGCACTACCGACTCACAATTTTCCCTAGCGGAGCCAGACGCCTCTTCCGAGGCCGAGGCTTCCACTAGTAGATACCTAGCCCAGTGCCGGGTGGGTTCACTTGAAACCCCGGCACCTCGGCACCGGGACTCGGCTTCGGGCCAGGTGCAGAGGCACGTGCGGGATAGGATTGTCCAGGTACTGCCTCTGGTGGCTGCGCCCATGCCAGAGTCGGAGACCCCCAAATTGACTAAGGTCAAGCAGGGCCGGCGGTTGCCCCCCTTTCCCGCATGCGGTGCGGAGTCTTCCTAGGGGTGAATTTCAACACGGTGAGAGGACGTGTATCTCTGTCACAAGATATCAAGTTCCTTATGCGCAAGTCACACTGCTCGTACACCAGTTACTGGGCAACATGGCGGCGACAGTGGATGTGGTCTGGCGGGCACGCTTGAGAATGAGTCCCATTGAACAAGCACTCCGTCGACTGTGCTCGAGACTTCATAGTGGCTCATTACACACCTTCAGTGGTGGACCGAGGTCGGGAATCTGCCCGGGGGCTCCCCCTCGACACTCCCGTTCCGTCTGTCACAGTTCAAACAGACACGTCACTCTCCGGCTGGGGAGGTATTCTGAATGATCACACTGCCTCAGGACTATGGTCCCAGCAGGAGATCAAACTGCATATCAATGTGCTAGAACTGAGAGCGGTCAGGTTGGTGTTCCAACGCTTCCCGGATCTGCTTCGTGGCCAAGTGGTTCATCTAGACAACCAAACAGCGATGACTTACATCCGGAAGCAGGGGGGAACGGCATCTCCGTCGCTTCGCAAAGAGACATGACAGTTCCTACCATGGTGCGACTCTCACGATATCAGGGTGCTACCTGTTTATCTCCCGGGGGTGGACAACGTCCGTGCGGACGCTCTGTCTCGCCGGATCCTCGCTCTTCACGAGTGGAGGATCGACCCGGGGATATTCAGGATTTTCTGCCTGTTATACAGGACATTACAGGTGGATCTGTTTGCGTCTGGGGTGAATCACTAGACACCAACGTTCTGCTCCCAAGTCCCCGAGCCGAGGTCGGTGGCACCGGAAGCCTTCCAGTTAGATTGGACGGACAGAGTTCTGTGGGCATTCCCCCCAGTACCTCTGATTTCCAAGGTCCTGTCTCAGCTAGGCACTCAGCCTGCGTGACTACTTGTGCTCCTGGCACCTCTTTAGTCGGCGCAGAGTTGGTTTCCAGTAATACTCAGGTTTCTGGCTCAGCCTCCTGTTATATTACCTTTACGACCGGACCTCCTATCCCAGAATAGGGGCCCTCCACCCGAATCCCAGGATTCAATGGGTGGCTTGGCAACTGTCAGGAATCGCCTCCAGAAGAGCGGTATTCCTGCACGAGTTGCAGACACAATACTGGCTTCGCCGAGGGATTCGACAAATGTTCAGTACGAGGATAGATAGACCTGCTATGCGCGCTGGTGTGGCGATAGAGGGATTGCAGATATTTTTTCTGCAGATATCGTAGCTGTGCTTGAGTTCCTCCAGTCCGGCCTGGCCGCATCAATAGTCCAAGGGTACTCTACAGCTATCGCAGCTTTTCACGTCCCTGTCGACGGGGCACTTCTAGATGCACACCCTTTAGTGCAGCGCTTTTTAGCAGGTGTGGACAGGATCCAACCGCCGGACTTGGGACTTGTCAATCGTTCTTGATTGGCTGTCCGGTCCTTCCTTTCGGGATCTGTCGTCTCTCTCTCTTCAGCTGTTGAGCTGGAAGACGGCGTTCCTTGTGGCGGTAACGTCTGGCAGATGGGTAGGCGACATTCGTGTTATGTCAGACGATCCCGAAATAACTTTCTTCCACCGGGACAGAGTCAGTTTTCGACTACCGGACTCTTACCGTCCTAAGGTCACACACGCCTTCCACGTGAACGGCTCCTATTGAGCTACCTGCTCTTTCACAGCCTTCCTCGTCGGGGACCACTGCAAGACATGCTCATGTCTTGGATGTCCGCAGGACCCTCAAGGCCTATATCAGCAGAACTATGGGTATCCGTAACGATAACCAACTATTTTGCTGTTACGGCGATAGAAAGGCTGGCTCACCTGCGAGCAAACAATCTATCTCGAGGTGGATAGTTTCAACCATTTGTACAGCGTATACGCTTGCAGGTAGGGACCCCCCTACCAGGTTGAAGGCTTACTCGGTTAGAGCAGTGGCTACGTCACAAGCGTACGCCGCGGCTCTGCCCATTGAGGAGATCTGCTCTGCGGCTATTTGGAGCCAGCCGAGCACGTTCATCAAACATTACCAACTCAACAAACACTCAAGCGAGCGTGCTCGGTTTGGTCAGTCAGTTCTCCGAACTGGGCAAAGTTCTAATCTCTAGCCGATTGAGCATTTGAGATTTTAGACAGTCCTTCGGTTATACTGCTCAGTAATGGTCCGGATTTTATCTTCTGCGGTCGATAAATATCAGTCCCTACTACTCGATAATACTCGTATTTTGCACACGCACTCCTTCGATCCTTGGGGACCCTCTGGCCTAGCTCAGCGCGGGTTATAGTCTCCAGTAATCTACGCCCCTATATCACTTGTTCAAAAAAGTGTGGGAGGTGTTTCGAGTTCTCAACTTATGACAAGCCGCAAAAACAGGCTTTATCATAATATATGGTCGACCACGCCCTGTCTCTAGCCCCCGCCTTTCGACGGTGGTGCCTCACGATAAGGTTGGTTCCATTTATTGAACTCTATAATTTATTGTGTTGAATAATCAAATACGATGTATTTATTTACGCCTGTTGCTGACGGATGCCACTTCCTAGGTTATCTTTGGGAGTCTGTCTTGATGCAATAAGTGCCCCAAGGAGGATTTAATCTGAAAGAATTTT